GAGCTTCATCTGCTGCCAGACAACGTGAGCGTGAGTACACAGAGCAAATGAACGGGGCCAGCCTGGCAGACACAGGCACAAACAGCCCTGCTTTGGCAGTAGGACCCTCCTACTATTGTTGGTTCATTTAGGCAAAGGAGAAAGTGGGTCAGCCAAATTTGAAGGTCCCCTCTGTGTTCTCAATTCCCATTGTCATCGGGCCCCCACCTCGCCACTGGTCAGCATGTGAATTACTGTAGGGCATTATGCTGCCAAGTCTCATCGTTGTATGTCGCTGACAACTCAGCATCAATCTTGGTAGAACACAATCTGTCACTCACATTTCTGCAATCCAGGCCCTCTGGGGTGTCTTTAGAGTTTGTTAATTAAGACTCTTTTGAACACAGTGCACTTGGGCTTTCATGCTCTCAGCCCCAATTATTCTCCACCCTCCTGCTGCGAAAGCACCAAAGGACCCTGTACAGACAAAAGTCCACCTTGGCCCTTTGATCCTATATGGGTAGACAAGTCTGAGCCTGTCTGTCTGATAGAGGCCACGTGTCTAACAGCTCAGTTGAGGTACAGTCTATCTGGACACGAGAACAACAATTTACCATCAGTGTAACCAGGCAGAACTGAGGGGTACTCTATGCTTCACTTATGGTATTGGGTAGATTCTTGGGAACAGTGGTAAAATGGAAAAATAATAATAATTATTACTCTAGGGTTAATACCTGGAGATATATACCAGGGTTTTTCTTATTAAAACAAATAATTATATATAAATATATATTATCACTGTATACAAATAAATACACATAAATGTAACAATGTCAGATTTGTATTATAAATTTATAATGAATTCATAATTGATTATAATTTTATTGTTGATAAAATTTTAAATAATGTTTGTTTAAGTCTCTTATGCTCAACAAGGCATCACATTTGATTGAAATACAGTAAAAACAGTATTGTGAAATATTATTCGAAAGAACTGTTTTCTATTAAAATATACTATAAAATATAATATATTTTCCTGTGAGGGCGAAGCTCAATTTTCAGTAGCCATTACTCCAATGTTCAGTGTCATATAATCCTTCAGAAACTATTCTAATATGATGGGTTGGTATTCAAGAAACATGCCCTATTATTATCAATGTTGAAAACAGCTGTGCTACTTA